CAACCTTCTTCAGCACTTAGGGACCAGAGGAGTGACCTGCTTGTCAAAGATGGTACCGCTGCGTGTTTGCAGATCCCGCTGGCTTCTGCACGAGCAATGGTTGCTTAGCAACTTTGAGATGAAGGCCAACTATTTTGATGTCTGAATAAGGATTCAGGCATTTAATTTCAGGGACCCACATTTGAAAACACTGGCATAGGAGAGTAGATGAAGGTCGTATGCAGAGACGGTGACTGAGTAGTAGGGGCAGAACTGATCTTGCTCCTCAACGCCCATTTGAACCAGGAGCACCCACTCGCTCTCTCTCTCTAGAGATGTTTTGGACCTTCAGTGTTAGGAATCACCCTTTCTGTCCTGGCATGGCTAAAGCTGGCTCCTGGGAACAGAGTATTTGTGGAAACGGGTCAGGTGCTTTCAAAAATGAGTGTTTGAAATGGCTGTCCACCCTGAGTACCTGTAGCCAAAGCTGGTTTTCCCACCGATGCCTTTGGTGACATGGGCAGCAGAGGGGCCCATGGGATGGTGGTGGGGCACTGAGCTACTTATTAGGAGTCTCCAGCTTCACTCCCAGACCCTTCTTGAGGGTCCCACTTTTGCCCAGTCTGCAAAATGGGGATAGTGATGCTTCAGCTGCCTGCGCCAAGAGCTTTGAGAGGCTTGTTTTCCTCCTACAAACGCTACGCGAGATCTAAATAGCAGTGTTATTTCTAGTGTGTTATCCTGATAGCGTGAGAGGCATAAACAAGATCCGCATTTGCTGATGGTGACTCACTGTGAGCCTTTGAGGGTTGTGTGGAAGGGCTTGCTCTGATGTTTTTGCTGCTCTGAGATAGATTATTGATTCTCTTTATCTGGTGTTCGTCTTACAAACCCAAGGTGATGAGCATCCTGTTAGTTTCAAGAACACTGGTGCTATTTTTCCACTGCTTCAAGGGACACAGAATATGATCCAAGTACCCTCAAATGGGCAAAAAAACAGGTCAACCTGGTTCATATCAATTAAACTTCCAACTCCAGGGGAAGGCTAAAAAGTAAGATTGGATAACAAAAGCAGACCTTGTCCAGTGAGAGGATTGGGAATTTTCCACTAAATTGTATTTTGCTTGGCTCGGGTGGCTTCTTTTGTTGCTAAGTTTATTAGGAAATGTCAGATCATTGAAAACAGTGTCTTTCACCTGGGGAAAAAAAAAAAAAATCCAGACAGATATCTCAGAAAATTGTCAAAATGTTGTATTTTGATATTGCTGCTAAGAAAAAAATCCTGATCTTTCCAGTTATAAAACAATTTGTTATTTTAGAAATGTAAGCTTATTCCCAGGTAATTAATGTAAGAAAATGTTTGGAATCTAACCGATCTATATATACAGCTATCAAGATACAAAAATAAGGATTTGGCTTTAACACAATAGGGATTTCACCATTCTTCTTGATCCGTAGCAGAAAAAGGTCTCTCCAGCAGCAGCTGCAACATCAACATTCCTTCCTTTGTAACAAACCCTCCGGCCAAAAAATGCTATATGCAAAATTTACCACACCTCTTTACAAAAAACCTGGCTCAGCTCTCCCCCTCACCCCACCTTCTGCCTGTCTTGAAAGCCATAAATATGAAGAGGCCAGCTGAACTTAACTGCAAAATACCCACTTGCAAACAGGTGTAACAAAAGGGCGAGTCTGAAATGAGCGCTCTGCAGAAAGGAGAGGGAGGCAGGAGGTGGGGTGGGGGGCGGGAAGGGGGGAAAGGGAAAAAAAAACCCACATGATTGAAGGCCTTATAAATGTAAATAGTTTGGCAAAAAGGGTTTAGCAGCCCTGGGTAGAAGATTGCACTTGGTGTTCCAAGGCCCTTATTTTCCAAATCGCAGCGCTGGAGCCCTTTCGAAGCTGGTCCTTGTGTTTGCTTTTTCAATCAGTGAATATCAGGTTGTGTCTTTTTTTTTTTTTAATCTCTGCACTCGGATGTGCCAGGCTAAAATGAAACCTCAGAGAGGGAGATAGAATGTGAGCTGTGCTCTGGACCTTTGAAAGAGCTCATCCCCGCTGCCTTTATTGCTACTTATTTATGAATCTCCCCCTCCCGACCCCCCTTCCTCACCAAGCCCCATCTCTTGTTTTCCTCAGCAAATCCCACCTTCCCTTTCGGATTTTTTTTTTCCCCCCCCCTCTACATTCATCTATATATTTTACACCCAGTAAGTCAATCAGTTTCAAATTATTGGTCCCTGAGACAGATGTTTGGTGAGTCATTTAGCTGCGCGAAGTTCTTCAGACAGTTTGCTCTTCCACCTCCTGTTCATTTAAAGCATCTTTTGAGGCTGATTTTTCCTTTTCAAAATGTCTTTAACTGCCGAACGTTTGCTCCCACCGGGCAGTCTAATGATGTTGGACACAATATGTGTGAACATCTCTTTAGAGGCCATCTCCCCTAGGCTACATTCTTGTCTATAAAATCATTGTTTATTTAGTCCTTAGGCCTAGGAACCATCTGCAGTCCCCATGGCTCCTGTTGTTTTTAAAGTCCTATTAAGTTTCTGCACTTCTCCTCAGAGCATTATTTTATTTCTAAACAACCACAGACAACTTCCTGTCAACACGGCTTCTGCCAGGCAAATTAGAGATGACAGTTTCATTCTTCCGACTATGGCGAGCTCTCATCTGATGTTATTTAATGTGAAAAACAACTGTTATATAGAGAGTGCTTTAAAAACAATGAGGAGAAAAAAAAATAATAATAATAATTTTAAAAGAGAAGATGGGAGAGGTTGGCCCAGAGACTCTGGGTTAAGGTGCTCAGACAGCATTTGCCAGTCAGGAAAACATAAGGGATTGGAAGGCTCTATATAATGGTCATAACAAAAGAGAATCAATGAGTGTTGACTTGATGTCATTTCCAATCTTTCTTTTCCTGACAGGAACGGAAAACATTTTGCTTGGTTTTGTAGGGTTTATTTTTGCTTTCCCTCCTTGCTGTCTTTCCCCACCTCCTATTCCCCTCCTTTGCTGAGTAAGCACTCAGGGCCAAGGAGAGCGGCTGAGCCCTGTCCCCAGAGGGAGACCCCCTCCTGCTCAGCTGCTCTTGGCCTCAACACCCAGGAGCTATAAGCTGACATCCGGGACACCAAAATCAACCCTTGGTTGACCAGCATCTCAGAAGCAGGATGTTCTCAGCATCGAGAGGCACCTCCCCCTTGCAAAGCACTCTGTGTAGGACTTTGTCCCTGTGACTTAGCAGAGGAGCCTCACTTAAAACAGCTCTGGGTAGAAAAAGATAAAGTCACTGTGTGAATGTTAGTGCCAGGAGAGGGATATCTGAGCAGCTACCTCTACTCTAGCCCCAGACTTCCTCTTGCTCTGCAGGCAAGTGAACTAGCATAACTCACGCCCACACATCTAGAAATACTCTTCTCCCTAAAACCAGCTGGCATCATCCATTTTTCCTACTGGGAAAGATTCCTGGCTTGTTGTACCCCCCCAAACTCTGCCCAGGTATTGCCTGTGAGAGTGCTAGCTGGCCAGGGCTAGCACCATGCCAGTTCTGTACACTAGTAGCAAAACAATAGGGACGACCAGAGCATAACACCTGAGCCCAAGCCTCCCTCCTTGGACAATGAGACAACCATGGTGTTTTGACCTTCCCCAGCTTCTAGAACTACCCCTAGGAACAATAAACTGCTGGCTATGGCTTCATGCTGACTGCTGTTGATAAAAGTATAATCAGGGAGAAAGTGAAAAATCAGTAAGAAAAAGAGGCAACCTGTGTGACCTCTGTGAACCAGCCAACATTTTACTGCATCAGTTTTGCCACCTGCAGATCAGCTGTGATAGTTGGGTAGGGAGGCTGCATTCAGTTGCGTTCATAAGGCTCTTCAAGACATGCAGGGAGAGGACTGTAAATGGAAGTGGTTAGAAGGGGCTGGTGTGTTTTGGGAGGAAACCACACTACAATAATGCTGTGGCTCTGCAGTCGAGCACTCAGACATCAGGAAAGGAGGTTAAGATTGCTTCTGTAATCTTAACTCTGCCTTCTTCTGAATATGCATCATAATAAGGTTGTCAACCAAACCCTTACTTGGTGGAAGTCTGTGTAACTCCATTGAAGTTTAAAAAAGTGTGAAATTATATTGCATTATATTAGCAAAGAAACAGCACATCACACTACTGAGAAAAGAGGCTGACATCAATGGAGCTATGCTGATCGACACCAGATGAATAGCTGCCTTTTACAGCAATCATAGGTTGGTTTTTCAGATAGTATGATATTGCTTCAGGTGAGTGTTTCTGCAACCTTAGCTGTAACGTTGCCATATTTCCACAACCTGTTTGTCTCCTTGAATGCTCACACTGTTTTTGCTCTGTCAGAGCAGTCCACGCTATCCTTATCAACTTACATGGTTTATCTTCTCCCTATGGATTGTATTCTAATCACCTGGGCTCCTACCATCTAGTCTGAATTTGCTTTTGAAACAGCAGGGTAGCCTTACTGAGGTACAATTCAGGGGGATATGGCAATTCCATTACTATGAAGCTCATTTAGCTGCACACTTGGGTGGTCTATATACTCCAGTAAATTTTCACTGTTTATGCTGCGGCTGTGAATAATCTCTTGAGTGCTGTTCTGTTCCAGATAGGTTTTCATCCCATCCTCAGCACCGGCGTAGTAGTGTGCCTTCCAGTCATGCATTAAGCGATGTGACCAGTTTCTCTCCAGTGCAGCCTCTTCTGTCATTTTCTTCTCAGCAGGGCAAATTTAGGTACATGATCACTTTGGTTTTGTTGGGTTTGTTTTTGAAGGCTGTCTCAATGTCTACACTTGAGGTGTGCAGTAGAGAAGGCAAGCCGAGGAAGCATCCCTAGTTCTACAGCTGAAAGATGGCTGCAGTCTGTGATGACCTTAGCTTTTGTGGGAACTGCTTCTACAGAGCCCTTGAGAAACCTTTGACTGTGCTGCAAGCTTTTGGTGTTTCAGAGCTGACATTGTCATTCAGAACCCCTTACTCCAGCAGGAAGTTCTTGTTCGTATGGCTTCAGGCGAATATGCAGGATATTTAGAGGCCAAATGCCTACAGGCTAAGGAGTGCAGTAATGGGGCTCTTCTCCAGTGCTCTTCAGAAGAGCTGGGGACTTCTGGCCCGAGGGCACAAGCTCAGAAAAAATTGTTCGTTCCACAGGAAGAGGTAGTCGAGGGGATTTGCAGAACTAACTCTCTGTCTCCACTCCTTGTTCCTCCATCCCAAAGGTATAGGAACCCTTCACAGATACAGAGTGGGTTCAGTAACACTGGTTTCACTCCCTGAGGTGTACTGACATTCAGTCCTTCTCTCTGCAACAGCGTCCTCAAATGACCCTAGCAAGTCTCTTAGGGTGGGGGTCATCTGGTTTAATTTAGGTATCATGAAATTTTATTTGTGACTGAGCTAGTCACCTAAGGCCCTCTTTAGAGCCAGCAGAGAGGAAAAGGTAATTCCAGATGGCAGTTCACCTCCTCCTAAAAACAAGACAGGGCAATTGACTTCTGGAGGAGCCTGTTTCACTCCACAGAGCCGTGGGACACCACCTGTAACTTGGTGATGACGGGCTGAATCTCAGCCATGGCCTCTCTTGTGGGACCTACAACATGGAGAGCAGATCACAGAGTCCTACCTCACGCAGGGTTAAGGAGGAGAAATCCTTTAGAGAGAGAAAGGGTGCATTCCCATCCTGGGAAGGAGCTGTGGAGGAGAAGAATTAGTGTATCGGTATCCAAGTGAGACGGGATATGTTGTGAGGATGGGGTGGGAATGCTGTGATGAGTAGTCGCGTGGATCTGTTCCACTGCGCAGCCAAACGATGGGTGCATCTTCAAACAAGCTTCTCCAGATACCAGTGATGTCTCCACACATGACATCCAGTCGTTCCCTTTATGTAAGGGAGAAGAGAGGGGGAAAGAAGGGGACAAATGGGGAAGGAAGGAAATTAGTTTGAGCCATTACAATTGAACCCAGACGGTATTTGGATGTGACTGCAATTAAAACGGAAGGTCTTTTAGATGTAGGAAAGAAATCCTGGCTCATAGAGTCCGTGGAGAATGCAGTATTCAGTAATCACCGAGGCAGGCATACATTATAAATATATCTGTAACTACTGGGATAGGTGTGAAAATGTAATTAACTGGAAACCTACTGAGTTTAAATGGACTTTTAGTTGTTTCAGGTTTTTTTTCTTCTTCTTTAGCCCTTCCCCCTCCCATTCTTAAGTTAAGTTTAGACTTGTGGGTCCTCTAACTCCCACTGGCACAGTGTAATTTAACAAAGGTTGTTCTAGCCGAATTTGAAATTAATAATTTCAAATAGGCAAATCAATGATATTTAAAAGCTCCCTCCTGTGTGTTTGTACAATCTGCACAGGTATAAAAGCTAATCACATCTTGCTGGGGAAGAACATTTGTTATCGGTTTTAAGTAGAGCTTGGCAGTTTGGGGGGATTAAACACCATGTTTCTTCCAAAGTGTGCGTGTGCCTCTGTAATTTAATATCTCTCATTAACTTAGTGCTGGAGAAGGGTGTCAGTGCCGACAGGGAGGAGCCAGCCAGCCCCCTGAGAGACCATCCATTTTGCATCACCATGAGATTTGCAAATAGAAGGAAGGGGACATAGAAGGGATCATGCAGGATCAGAAACAGACAGTTAAAAATAAGGTTTCTGAGGGTATTGTTTGGTTGGACAGTGAAGGGCTAGGTTTGGATCACCCAGCAGCCATCCAGGAGGATGCCAAAACACAGACTTCCTTCAAATATCCCTGCAAATGCCATGTTAGATCAGCTCCAGCAGTCCTTGTTGTCCTTTGTCGTGATCATAGCACTTTCAAATATCACATACCTCACGAAAAAGCATCAGAAAAATTGTGGACTCCACACTTTTCATAAGAGCATTTCTTTCTAACACCATTAATTTATTTTTAACATCCACCTCGAACTAAGATATTGTTAAACCACTATCCACATTTGTTCTGTTTAATATAATTTTGAATGGTATTACTATCTGCAAATACTACCCCCTTTCTAAGTCCTTGAAGACCTTCAGCTGCAATAATTTCTTGCAGCAAGGAGTTCCATAGGTCAACTCTGCAGGAGGCAAAATATATCCTATTTCTATGCCAACTCCAATGCATAATTTATTTTCTAGATTAGTATTTTGCCTGTGCTTCTACATGAAAAGATCCCATTCAGCCCAGTGCTGTCTCATATGGAAAAGAAAAGCCAGCTGGCTGTGCTGAAATACTCTTTCAAAAAGTTCCAAGAAGGAGGAAGACTCTCACATTTGTATTCTCCTTGCAACATCTCTTAATAATTTAATTCCCATTAGAAGTGCCTGTGTTGTAGGGGGGGAAAGATTTATAGAGAGATTTCACTCCAGGTTGGGTTTTTGTCTTTCTGTGTTTTCTTGGCATTTATCATGCATGTTTTAATTTGGATCTGAGTCTTGCTACCATCTGGTCATTATTGCAAAGAAATATTCATTTTCTCTGAGTGACATGGGCTTCATTCATCATGGAACTAGCTGATTGCCCCTCAGGTTTTTTTCCCATTACTTGGAATGAAGTCTGAAGATACTTAGCACCAGACATAGCAGCAGTCAATAAAGTTTGCAAAGTTAGTGGCAGCTGGTATCTGGGCAGAGGAAAAATTAAGAGACACTTTTTAGGCCCTGATCCTTCCACTCTTTTCCACATGTCATGCATGGGAAGTGCAGCATCGGAGGCCAAAGCAGCATTGCAGAGGATGGGAAGTGAGCTAACAACTCCATTCCCCGTCACAGTGAAACTTGGAGGTTTTTGCTCTCATCTAAACATGGGGAAGACAAAAGGGAGACAATTTGCCCCAGAAGAATGTTGTGACAGCTACGCTCTGTTTCTCCCACAAAGGGAACAGGCCTCCAAGCAAGACAGCCTCAGAAGCAGTGGGAATTCTTCACTAAGAGGTCTCAAAAGCCATACTTCAAGCTTTGGGGGGAAATTAGACACAATCACTTTTAGCTTCCTACCACGCAAAAGCCTTCCCTGGATGTCTGTCATTACGGACAATGGGCACAGGGCAGTGGGAAGCAAACAGAGGGACTCTTAACTAGTCTTAGGATTATTCAGCGTATGCAGTGACCCACAACGGCATCTGCATACCCTTTGCAAATAAATTGCTTGTGACTATTCTTTTGCTTCCCTGGTACATCCCATGTCCTGTTGTGTAGTTCCCTGGACTAATCCATCTTTGGTTCCCCTTGTTTGCAAACAATCCTTTGTGACACTTACTGCAAAGGCTGTGTGTGTGAGTGGGGGTGGGGGGGTCAAGAGGGTGTCTCAGTCTCTGCATACTGTGAAAGCCAGATGTCAGTCAGAGGCTTGGACTAGACAGTCTGAAGGACTGACACCCCTGAGCATCATCGTTTATGTACCTCTCCAAATGGGGTATAGCTAAAAAAGGCTGTCCAGGGGCAGATGGCAACTTGGGATCAGTCAGGAGCAGAGACAGATGGCAATGTGCGACTGGTTGGAAGACAAGTTATTGCATGAGATTAGCTGGAAATGGATGGGAATTATAAAATGGGACTAGTTGGGAATGTAAGTCTGTACAATTATTTGTAAAGTGCTGAAAATTAGACCACCATCCTAGCTCCCTTGGCAGTCTTGGGCCTACCTACCTTTCCAAGCAGTACAGAACTACACAGATCTGTAGAAAGCAAAGTGACCTCCCAGGGATAAGATCTGGACAACATGATCTCACTGCGACCTCTGGATTTGGTCCTAGAGGTTGGCTTCTTTTTTGGAGAGAACAGGACCGCTGGTAGCAAGCATTGCAGTTTAGTGTTCATCAACGGTTGTCACTGTGCCCAAGGAAATATGTTTAACAGTTTTTGGACACACAGCACATTCTGTTGCACCATGTCTAGGATGGTTTCGAATGGAGCGGCCAACAACTGGAGAAGATGATAGAACAGCTTGCTTCAATTTGGAGCATCTGTGCCAGTGAGATTTTGGGGTTATGAATACCCAGTCTTTCTCCAGCCTAGCAAGGCAGAGAGAGAGAGAACATCTGTGAATTTGCTGGAGGGTAAAACTAAGCCCCATATTGGGTAGAGCAGCCTCAAAACATTGAAATGACTAGAGGAATTTTTCCGGATCAGAATGAATTTCTACTCTTCCCAATCGGTGGCTTGTTTGGAGGCTTTGTTCCTGCTCCAAGTGATTGGAAGTTGGTCAGGTCCCATTACTCCTAGTGAAATCAGTCGTGATATAGTCTAACACAAGCAGGATACTAAACAGAGTATTTATTTATTTATTTATTGACATCAAAGAAGAAGAGCAACAGAATCATCCAGTGGTAAGAGTGAATGGGTAGGAGAGAACCAGGGGCAAGAGAGGCAATAAAAATAGAAGGCAGTCCAGATGTTGACTGCAAACTAAAATACTGCCTTTCCTCTCTACTGATAGCACCGAATGTTATTTTGTGTCTTTGGAATTCATTTTCTGAAAGTGTCTGCATGAGGAACATCTGCTCCCTCAAATCCAGACCTACAATTTGAATAAATTATCAATATCTGGCAGCAGCCCGTTATTAATGGCTAGAGTTTTATAAGATTCTCCAGTATAATAATAGCGAAGCTAGCGGCTGGCATTCCTCCCAGAAAGACTCGTATTTGTCCCATTTTATTCTGTTCTGTTTTCTTTTCTGTTTTTCTCTCTGAAATCACTTTGTTAGATTCACTTTCTGAAAAGCTGTTCCAGTCTAACACATAAGCCTGCAAGTAAAATCATTGTGTTGGAAATTTCTCAATAATTATAAATCCTCTAGAAATAAACTAATAGATATGTCATTCAACAAACAAGACCCTTTTTGATTGCTGCATGTCTTTAGTCATCAAAATGGAATTATTATAGCTGTGTTCATCTAATATGGAAATGCAAGTACAATCTAACTACCTTTCATCAATACCATCAGTCCACATCTTGAGAACTGTTTCAGAGATGTGTGTGCTGAAACTGGTTA